CACTAGATGGCCTGAATACATGGTCCGACCAGACCACAATTGATCCAACCCCGAATTCAACCTCAAATGATGGTTAAAATCAAACCCCTTGTCCCACCCTAGACAAAAAATGAAACAATACAGCAAAATAAATCTTTGAGGAAAAATTGAACCTGCATAGAAATTCGAAGAGCCTTCTGCATCTCCAGCTCCTCCGCCTCCCTCTTTGAATCCGCAAGGACAGACTGAAGGGAGATATCATTGGCATCATCCGCAAGACTTAACACCAAGGCCTTCTGTAGGTCGGCGTCCCTTTCACTTCCCCTGCCACCCGAGCTGGGACTGGGTTGAGTCAGATAAGTCTCCGATACGGGATACAGCTATAGCAAGATCACGAAATCCGCATAAACCTTAAGACACTAGAGTCCAGACACAACGGTAAAGCGTCTTAATCTTTCATAGAGAAAATATAACAAGCTTTTGCAGCATCTTAAAAAAGTATGAAGGTACCATCAAATACTGATCGGCCTCACACTCAGGAAGGTGACCCGTGACAAAGTAGATTGAGTACCCTTCAGAGTTCAGCTGGGCCAGATAAATGGAGAGGTAAGTGTTAGAAATGAGTCTTGGACGAGCATGAAGGGAGTTGAGGTCGAACCATTGGCAACCCAGACGACGGATAGCTAGCCAATGCATGTCAAAGTGGCAAATGAAAGCACGTTGCGAAGTTGGATCAGCTCTGGCTGCCTCAGCTTCTTCGGACTTGCGCATGTAAGGAACCAATTCCAAACCTAGATTTTGAAGGGCCATTGCTATCACCTAAAACACCGCAGAAATTCTAAACATCTCAGATGGCTGACAATAATGCACTTCTCAGTAAGTATTTACGCCTCCACACGTCACTTATCTCAAAAGGCTTCAACGAATTATCGCAGAAAACAAACCTGAACTGAAAAGTTCCCACTTTCATCAGTATTCAGACAATCCATTTGCGAGGAATTTCGCGCTCGCCTTTCCTTATCATCCAAATTATGTGCGATTTCCGCAAGAGACTCAACAGTGAAGTAAGGTCCTTGCAAAAGACCATTAAGACAGTGCTGCGCACAAAACCTATCTACTTGCTGCAGCAAATGTCAAAAAAATGCATTCTTACCTGCTCATGGTAAATTTTTTCCATCTTGAATCGTACAGCTGAAAGGCATCAACAATACAACTCGGGCGGTAGAAAGAGCGTACGAGTGATGACGCCTCCCCATGTCCATTGGTTAAAATCGAGAGATTGCTGCTCGACACAACGATGTTGCTGATGATATCCCCCGTATTACTGTTTTAACTGAATTACAAAAGACGTAGTGCAAGGCCTTACAGCTCCATAAGGCAAACTTATATTGTTGACGGTACCCAATGTACCTTAAATGCTTCAAAAATGAACGCATTAAACTCAGCGTTATATAACTTTGTAACTGTTTTCCACAATTCCAAAATGTACTGCGTTAGAGGAGAATAATAATAATAATAGTGGTTGCACCACAAGGGTTTAGTTTGCTAGCCAATATATCCGCCCATATATAGTGGCCGCCCAAATTCGTTGGCGCTGGGGGCGTTCTTCAAAACTTCGAATATCAGATTGATAACATTGAGCGGTAGACATCTTTACTTCAACATGGCTTGGTGTTTTGTTTAGGTTGACAAGGTAATTACTTGGTTGACCTTAATTGGCTTGTGCAGGTTTTTGACCATACTTCGAACATGTTTTCCAGAGAGAGGCGGCTCAAAAAACAGATGGAAGATACAAAGGCGAATAATAGAAGAATGCAGAGGGAGCTTGAAAGAGACCAGAGACAGCTTCAACGTGATGAGGCCCAACTTAAGGTTGAAATCAAGCGCCTTGCTGCACAAGGAGATAA